CTTGAAATTTCAAATCTAGAGCTATCAGAAGGCTGGATCAGAGCAGTTCTAAAAAAACAAGGCCTTTAATCTCTTTAGGCCAGACAGTGGTTTTGATGCGGCTGAGTTAATCAAAGTTTTTAATTCTCTTGTGTTCGGAGTAACCTTAATAAAGGAAGGGGAGCAATGAGATCCCATTTATTATCATAGGCCATGAGGAGGTGCATTTGAATTATGTGTTTATCCTCCTGGTTAGGTCTCAAGCCCAAGTTTGCTTGTGGAGGGTTTTACATGAATAATGGTCTATTTAAAGTATTGACTTATTGTGCCGGTTCACAAGTGTTCATTTGTGGTGCGGGTCACAGACAAAGATTAGAGACGCTTTCTGCTGCTGAGGCACCAAGGAAAATGAGAAAATGTACGGGATTACAGGTTCTGTACTGGCTTGGCTTCATAAAGGGAAAAAAATCAACCTTCTATGTTGGTTCTGCACTGTCCATATTGCTACATTCTTACTTACGAATAAGAACACCGTTTTAGTTTGTAGGTAAATATTTTCAGTTACTTCTGTACCCCACCGGTGGTGGACACTCACGCCACACACAAACACCGGCGACACTCACCCCCTAGGCCCGCGAAACAGTCAAACAAATACACTTTGACCAGCGCTGCCAGTGCCACTGTAGCTAGGGTTGCGTGCCACTTGAGCGAATATCCCAGGTTTTCGAGGGCAAAAGTGTTACCGAATTTAAACAAGTGTCACGAGTCACGTAAAGGTGTCGTAAAGCATTCTGAATAGGTTTCTATTCTCAACTCTTGACTGCCCAGACGCGGATAAAATGAGGACAGAACTGTCAGAAAAATGCTAACTACACCTAACAAAGCGCCTTAGCTAGCGTATTTATTATACCCGGTTTTCGCCTTCCATAAATTCTGCACATTCGGTATGGAAAATACAGTGAGTAAAGACATCGAATGAACGCCCAGCTCAATGGCAGATGAAACATGATTAATGTGCTGGTTTATCCGCGGTACCGTCTACAGAAGCCAAGTTCGGTCATTAAGTTTGTGACATCTTTGACGGCACTCATTAGCGGAGTCTACAGTTGTGCAAAAAGTTACTAAACCTACTAAATATCTCAAACTGTGGCACCGGATAAAGCCATACTACGATGTTTTCGATGTTCTTACGCTGACCTTATAGCTGAGGGGTATCCGATAATTAGACAAACAACGTCTCCCTGTTGGATAAGCTACTACTAGAAACATCAGCAAGCAGGATCACATGCCATCCTGTAGTCTTACCATCCTCTAGTAGTTCTATGAATGTGTAATGTGTGAACTTCTCGGAAGTATGCTTGATTATCGTCAACTGACTCGAGGTTTTACCAGTTGCTATATTTCGACAGTTTCTGGTGGCGGTATGGGTCTGGTAGTCTGGACAGTATACTCGCGAATTGCATATATGCTCCATCTCTTCATCTCTACTGATGTAATTTCACCAACTTATTTGAGACGGGTTGTTTTTCATATGTTACTAATGGAAGCCAGAATAGCTCATCTACTACCTCCATCAAGGCAGCATAAGCTTCCGTAGTTCATACTTATTTGCAGATGATCTGAAAGTAGTGCATCCGTTCCAATCATCCCAATACACAACTGCGGTAGCAAACCTTAAATGTGATCTACAAGCTATTGAGAGCTGGGATTCAAGGTGGCAGATACAATATTCTACATCAAAGTGCAATCGAATGAATTATAAATACCATATAGGAGCAGGATTACTTCTATTTTATAGTGATACCATTCCAGTTTGCTATTCTATCAGAGATTTAGCACTTTGGACTTCCATTTCCTTTTTTACAACGAACATGTGAATTTATGTGGTAACTAAAGCAATGCAAGTAATAGGACATTTTAGCCATTCACTAACACTGAAAGAGTCAAGCTTCATGGTATATATAATGAATACAAGGCCCTTGTTTGAATGCCTCTACCTCACATTCAGAAATCCAATTAAACGTAAGTTAAAAGCCATTAAAATATTAAATCTGCCCTCACCAAAAGCATCTACCGTTACTCCACACATTTTCCTTCTAAAGATACATGTAATTGGCTGAATTCCGCGCTTTTATGATTGTACCTAAACATTTAAACCTTAGCTTCCTACACAAACTTGCGTAGTAAGATGTATGTATTGTGCACGATCCTTGCTAGGGGGCTAGAAAACACACACGAAATATGCGACTCAGAGATATGTTTGTGGTGGCTTGATTCGGAATCACAGCCAGACAGAACTATTATCTTACAAGGTTCGGCAACCCAGTAGCATACGATGTACAAAGTTAATCAAATTCAACAAAATGATTATGGATTTCCTAACACCAGAGAAAGTGAAACGACGATAGAGTGAGGAAGGACTAGACCCTGTATGAAACACAGAACACAGGTGTCATACATCAAAGAGCGAAAATGTTTCAAAAATGGAGAGAGTGAGATGATGATAAAATGAATAACAATTATTAAAGGTAGGTAGCAAGTTCATTTCGCATCCATTTCACATAGCTTTTTGTACTACTGTGCCAACTTCATAGTACGCCCCAATTGTTTGTCCATCACTACGTTCTATTTTTAATAGCACTCCAAACCTACCCTCTGCTAGGTATATGCAGTCATCCGCTGAAACCTTAGTTACGCATTATGTAAGTTTAGATTTTAATCACTGGCATAAGCCGCTGAGTAGCGGTGCAAGCCACTAGCGGTCATGCGTTCGATACTATGCAAGAGACCGAGCGAATGCGTAAAACTAACGAGCTCCAATAGGGCGGAACGATCGTATCGCGCTTTTCCGGAATGATAACACATTTATTGCCTGGGACCTAATTGTGATGAACCGAGCAAAAACCCCTTATTTCTTTCTTAAGTCTCCGCTGAGCGATCAATGATGAATACTTTCGCGATCGATTGTCTGGAATTAATAATTACACTCGTCCCTTCTGATGGATTCAGTTGATCGTAATTGGTGATACATCACCCATAGCTTCGGAGATGCTATTAATTGCAGATGGAATAGGTTTACGTTTTTCTTTACGAGACCCTGTGCGAAGTGGAAAATTCTACACTTCGTAAGCGCTGCACTATTGTCATTATTCGTTAAGCTTTTCGATCAACTTGTGTTTGGCCTATTTGTAAATGATTGTAGATGTTATCTTTATTGTTAATTCCTCATATTTTATATTCGACTATATTTCATTGTCAGCTATGACTGGGTTGATCACGGTTTGCAGCTTCCAAACTATTACTTAGACACATGTAAGGCTCGTCGCCACTAACTAGTCGGCGCGATTGATCATAAATTACAGTGACTTTTTGACATTAAAAAGAAGTGCCATACTCCAACTTAACGAATGGTAGAACGGGCTTAGTGGCCTGGGCGCCCTTAATGTATACATACAAATAGCCCTAAAATATGTTGGACGGTGGTTGGTGGCCTACTTGCGATTTTGCCATACCGTTGCACAGCCAGAAGTGGCATGAATGTACGCGAAAACCTACGGGAGAACGTCCTGCCTAGATGCATATCTTTTTGAGACGGTTGTGTGAATGGCGGTATTACTTCAATAGAACGTAACCATATGGATTCTTGGAATAAAACGTGAACAATTACTTGGTTTATTTGATTTCTTCGTATAAGTCGACCAAACTACTAAGCTTTACTGTGCCTGCATCATCGAGGAATATCCCGGTCATTTAGCTGTCTATTTGTTATCGCTCTAATCAACCTCCTACCAACTATTGTGTGACCCTAATCACGTATGACCTCACTTGTTGAAACAGCCACAACACCAATCTCAGAAGTGACCCTCTGAAATTGAGTGAGCAGTATAGCGGAATGGAATGCAGACGGAATTACTTTTCTCTTCGGGTTTGCCAACCCCGAAACTCTCTCCAAAACTTAGTTGCTTCCTACCCCACTTTGGAAATTTTCAAAAAAAACACGATTGGATCTTGCCGTTTGCCCTCAACAATTCGTCGCCTAATCTGTGCTACTTTGGACTATAACAAGTATCCCTTCAAACCGGATTAACCAGTTACATAAACTTGAGTAGGCGGTACAGAAGTGCGTATGCTCTTTTTTACTTTTTCACGAAGTACATCAACTAAAACGGCACCCAGGTTGCCTCGTCGTTCGCACGCAATTCCCACTTACACTACTACTATTCAGCAGCGTATCTGCCAGATAAACCTTCAAACAGACAACTCACATATCGTTAGGATGTTGTAGTTTAACCCCCACTATCCTGCGTGACTTGTCAAGCAAATGCTTTTTTATCCAGCATAAATCTGCGTTCACTGTTCACTATTGAAGTGCTGTTGAAAGCGGAGTTCTATAGCTAGAGCACACCTACCCCGATTCATTCATCGCAATCTCCGTTGTTAAAATGCCTCATTCCTGCAACCAATCCACGTACGCTTTATGCGTCCACCCACTGGGTACTCCTTGCATTAAACTCATCCGCCACTGCCTCTGACTGGGTAACAATATAAACTGTTTTGCTTCAAGATAGCAACGCTTGTGCTTAGCGATCAGTGTTCGTTAACCTCCTTTCGTCACTACTCTACTTTCCTGCTTCCATGTTCGCAGCAGCTTCAGGTTAAACCTAGCTAGTTTATACAAATTCAGTGCAAAAAATGCTACCCAGGCAAACTCTTGCGGCTGTCCAATAGAGTGCGCCTTTTGGTATCTAATCAGTGTTTGAATTCAGTCCGCAAATATACCGTAGACCATGACCTGCTGATCCTGCAGCTGAAGATACCACAGTTTACCCAAAGTTGACTCTAGGTGTATCCTTCTTGTTTCTACCTCAAATACGTAATTCGGATATGAAGTGTTAAAATAGGCCGATTCAAAACACCGGAGTCATTGTATGAAATCTAAAAAAACTGTAAGAAACAAGGAGGTGAATTCCTTTCTTCATAAAAAAAACACACTGACTGCTCAAAGGTAAGAGATTACTTACAAACAGCAGCCAGACGCTGATGGTGAGTACTTGATTCTTCTCGTCCAAGTCGAGTATTTGGATCAATGAGAGAGACATGTTCACCAAAACGCGTTCTTCTGTGTGCTGCACTGGACGACCGGTAATTCCAGCGTCTTCGTAATTTTTCAGCAATCGCTTGATTAACCGCTTTTCATCCGACAAAGTGAAGACTTCTGAAGAATTTGCAGTGGGAGAAAGGAGGGACGGAAGCGAATTAGAGCCACTTAATGGAACACCAGCACTGCCTCAAGTAAGTGCAGTCACGTTGGAGTTTACACACGTCGTAAGAGATTCAGCGTACTATGAAATAGACATCGAAGCTGCGTGTTTGCAATATACAAGTTCAAGTTTCAGTTGACCAGCAGATATACATGCTAGATTTATGCAACAACAGGACCAGCTTTTACCAAATGCGTTAGACACGCATGTGTTCAAGTTGGACATATCTTCTAGGTTTACTGGATTACAGTCAAGCGCTGCGGTCCAGTCAACCCTTGTATGGTAGCTAGTTTCTTCCATCGTGACAAGAAGTTTCCACTGACAACTGCGTTCAACAGGAGTACAGTCACCGTTCCCACAAGAACATTAGTCGGTACTGATTTACGGCTCTCTTCTTGCTGTCTGACTAGCAAATCCTTTTGTGCAATTGTCATCTACATACTGATCTCAAGCTCTCTTGATTAAGTATCTTTTCAAGACAATTGCTTAAATGCGGTTGGATACGGCTAAACGCAGGTAACCGCTCTGGATTCTGGCCACTGAGAGATAAATTACCGAGGTCACTTGGAATACTTGGGGGCGCACATCGACACTTATTGGTTGGGGTCCCGTGCCAACTGTAGTCCTACTACCAATTAGCATAATGAAACGTGAGTGAATACCATGTTACCTCAAGCATGGAAAGCGTCTTTTGATATAATTTGTACGGTGTGTTGCTGTAGTTGGAACAATGGAACATGGTAAAACACGGATAATAATACCAAGGCTTGACAAGTCCCATGGGATGATTTGTGGGAATAAAGTTAGTTCAAGTTACACAAAAGTGAAAACATATCTGTGGACTCACCATATAACCCACGTAAACACATAAATATATCCGTCTACCCCGATTTCGTGGGGTTGGTGAACACAATGTTTGTCTGCGTCTTGCCGTCACTCAATGAAAAGAAATCAGATCAAGCAGTATAAATGGTGTAAAGCATCGTCGAGTCTATTTTTAAAAATGGGTAGTGTGAGCGCGGTAATCACAAAAGTCGAAAGAGCTTTCCACGATTGACAAACTCGAAGGCAAAAATAAATCCCGCGGCACTTAAGCCAACTGTAGTGAGTGGTAAGTTTTAATTTATGACTCCACAGTTCTGTGTTGCCGCTAAGCTTCAGGAGGTGGAAGCAAGCGTGACCGGGGACTTTCAAACTCTAGAACGCCAGGATGAAGTCACACCGTAGACGGCCATATCTTCTGCTGTATACTCCCAGGGCTTTCAGTCGCCTATTTTATTGCAGATGAGACAACCCCTTCACGTTTTTGTTGCCCGTCGCTGTGCGGTCTCCAGTTCAACCAGGTCGCGTTTTAACCAGGGTTGCCATGCCTGGATCGCATACTCTACATGGGGCTCACATATGCAATTAACAGTTGGGTGAAAATGAAGGGATCGAACCTCCCGAACGCCGTAACAGACAAACATATTGGTTCGCGGTTTTGGACGAATTCAAGGATTGCGCTGAACAGCTGAGGTCTTCTTGGATCACCACCCCAAGGTTTCGTTCCTGTGAGGCGGTTTACTGAACGTCCTCTCTAAGCTCATATGCGTACGTGGATTTGTCGCGGACGTGCACGGTTTAGCATTTGTCTGTGGTAAGCGGAAGTAGATTTAACTTTGACCATTCAAAAGCGCAGTCTAAGCATCGTTGCAACATATCGTCATATTCCTGACAGCCGATTGCCCACCATATCTTGATCTCATCGGCAAAAAGCAGAAAATTTGTCGTGATGACCCTCGTAAGGTCGTTAATGAAGAACAAGAATAACCGCTGTCCCAACACTGAAGCTTGTGGAACATCCCAGTCCACACCAATTAGATCAGAAAATGAACCTCAAACTCGAACTTAAAGGCGGCGCTGCAGGAGGAATTTTCCAATTCATCCAAGGAAAGGGTTTCCAACTCCGTAGGCTTGCACCTTTTGGGAAAGGGTGCGATAATCTTTGCGATCGAATGTTTTAGAAAAGTCTAGGTAGCTGAAATCCATGCCGGTCCCACTGCTGGCTATCTCAGTGCAACTGCCACGGGAAAGCGGTAGGTTGGTATACATAACTGATGCTGACGGAATCCATGTTGTTCCTGTGCTATGATGTTAGACCTTTCGAAGCAGCCCATTACAGCCTCAGCTATGATGGATTACATAACCTTTGAGATCACGGAGAGGCGAATCACTGGGCGATAGTTGAATTGCGCTGAAGGGCTACCACTTTGATAATCGAGATAATGGTGCCTTGCTTCCACATGCTAAAGACCTACTGTTTATTTAGGCATCTTTAGAAAATTTTCGTTAATGTTTCAGCTATCCTCGTAGCTGCCACCTGCAGCGCTTTCGGGGGACTGTTGTCGACTCCCAGGGGAACTACGGGTGCACAACGACAGCAGCCCCTGTAAAATCCTCGCTGAACTAAACGTGACGTGTGTAAATACTGGCAGCTGGGAGGATGGGACAGGTATATGACGTATGCTGGTGGTGCATCAAAATATTGGGGCTTATTGTAGCCACAGAAAGTTGGCTGCATCCTCGGCGGTTTGAGCACATCCATTTGCTGAGATTTATGGGGGAACATCACGCTTCACTTTCCGGAGGCTGTTCAAGCGTTTGCACAGAAGCTTATTTTAACACAAAGCCTTACCACTAGACACTGCTAGTGTGTTACTTTGTCCTCGCAGACAAGTGTGGTACACTGATTACGATGCACAACATAGTTACTCCAGTTGTCAGGGCTAGGGTTCGTTCTATACACATGCCACACTGCGTCTCATACTGTTACGTGTTTTTGGTTTCTACTCCGAAGGAATGATTATGCCCTAGCAGAACAAAGAGGCTTGTTGACCGACGCAAATTCAATCAGAGCATTGAACTTGTTAGTAAAAGCCAACAAGGCACTGTCAAGGGAACAATCGTCCGGAAACTCTTAGCTGGCATCTCCCACAAGTTCTGCTAGTATGTGGTAATGGGTGGTTGTTCGAAACAAGTTACTAGGTTCTGGTGGATACACCGCATAACATGAAGTCGTAAATTATGGGTACTTGTTTGCTCCACCCCAGAGGGCCCTTCATCCTTGGATTCTCAATCACGTGCTCTTCGTTCGTGAGCAGTAAATCTAGCACGGATGGTTCATTTTCGGCTCTGAATCGGGTGGGTGAATTGACATGGCTGAAGAGTGGAATGGTTGCAATATACTGTTGCAAGTCTGCCTTGAATTGCTCTTTGGGAATGACGGAACTTCCAAATCGTGAGTATTGAAGTCGCCGGAGATGAACACATGACTGTACCGTGCTCGTAGCACCCTTCCCAAGGGTAATGCCAGGCAAGAGTCCAGCTCTGGGGTGGACATTGGGGGACGATAAACAATGGCCAAAAAGCAAGTGTCGCTGCGTCTCAGTCGCAGACTGCACCAGAGTGAGTCTATAATCAGGGTTTTCGGATCGGCCACCGGTTCCCATTGCAGGTCGTGGCGGTAGTATAACATTACCCCCCTCCGCCGTTGCTAAGTCGATTGTTTCGGAGAAAGGATATAACATTTATCGCGACTTCGCGATCGGTAATTTCTGAGTGAAAGCAGGTTTCTGTAACGAATATAAAGTCCCAGGCATGTGACGCATAACGTAGCCGCGGTTCGGCAAGCCTGTGCAGGACACATTGTGCATTAGTGTACATGCAGGAAAGTTTCTCTGCTTTTAGCAATGAATCGTGGGATGGGTGTTGTGGATAAAAAGTTGTGCCGACCGGTGAAAGGGGGGCAACTGATCGCTTTTTGGGTGGACATATGACGCACTCATCTGTGTCCAATTGATGGACCCTACCATTACCACTTTGCTTCTCTCCTTGCATGTAATGTAGGGAGTGTGTTTGCCAGTTTCGTTGGCTAGTTGCTTAAAGTTATCCGAACTCTTGTCGGTAAGTGGTCTGACTAAGTGGCTGCTCTCGTATGTTTGCTTAGCATATGGTGATTTTCTCCGGAGTTCGGAAGGAAGGCCGCTGCGGCCTGCATAACATCCCTCCACTATCATTTCTGACATTTGTCTAAAGAACCACTTTCCTAATTCTCGGGCCACATTCCTTGTAGTTTGGCGAGCGGCGCAGCCTCGAGATTGATTGCGTTGTGACGTTTTCCAACGAGTGTATCGCCATTGTTCCTGGCAGTGCGTGGTCGCTTCGCGCGCGTCGGGTACACCGTGTACAAGCAGGGCTACGGATTCCTTCCGGTTTTCCTCCAAGTAGTGCTTCGCCTGTCTGCGCTCGTTTCACGGAATATCCGGAAATGGCCGGATGGAACATGACCCATTCCGGAGGCGAGCTGTCGATAACAGGACAGTTTCTGCTTCATTGGCAGAGGTCAACACACCTCGGAGTAGTCTTGGTTTATCGTACTGCTATGAGTTTGGGAGACGGATAACGCATGTTCAATTGTCGGGCTTAGTTACAGCACTTACAGTATCATATATGGAATCACACTGGTTCATGTCATCGAGTTGTTTTCCTTTTAAGGCATATAACGTGTATCCTGGAACGTTGGCGCAGACTACCGCTTGTATACTACGTACAACAGTTGGGGTCAAACGACCAGCTTGTCTGTATACAGTCGATGGAAGCTATTTGGGTACAGCTTCATCTTCTTTATTTAATCTGGGTCCAGTGGGAGTGGCCTAAGATCTATGTTTTCTGTTACCTTTGGCAATAACCAAGTTCCAACCGCCACTGGTGTCGAAGCGCTTCTGAATTTTCGGAACCGTTTGGAGGGTGCATGAGGCCCTGACTGTGGTCATTGCAATCGGACGGGCAGTGGTTGTTTCAGGCATAATTAAGCAACTGGTGGTATTAGCGTTTAATGTCACAGGTGATGCATTTTTAGCGCGCTGCCTAGCCGTCTTCCTCAGTTTTAATGCGGGGCCTGATGTGAAGGACTGGG